AGGTCGCCTAAGCAAGCCCTCTTCTTTACTAGTGAGGAAACCTCCACACAGAAGGGCTGTGACCTGCACAGGTTTGAGTGGTCAACCCAGAATAGAGACAAGGTTTTAAATTCCCGTTATATTTTGTTGTATTATACCATGTTATTTGTCCAAGCACTTCAGAAAGGAGAAGAAAGGGTTAAGGTTTAACAAGCACATTCATGTTGAAAAAGTCATTGATGTCTCCTCTTTTGTCAGAATAGAGATTTTGATCTCATGAAGAATAATAGGGTGAAGATTCTTGTCCCATTTTTAGAAACACAGGTTTGGAAACCTGCATTCATCTAATCCTTCAAATTTTGCAGTGGCAGTACATTCTCTGACTGAAATGCCTAAATGCCATAACTGTTTGGAATAATATCGAGATGAAGAGGTCAGTAGGAGGTAGCCTTCTAGACCTTTCTGCTAAAGCTGTAAGGAGAGTTTGAGAGTGACAACTTCAGTAGCACTCTTGAGCCAAGAGGCTGGGAAATGAGGTCAGCAGCATCGCACTCTCAAAGAGTGGCAAGGTTCGGGATTGTAAGTGGTGGTAACCAATCTGTGCTTATACCCTAAAGGACTTTGCCAAAAACAAAGTCTGTGCAAATTCTCTGAAGCTTTCAGAAGGTGGTGTACGACGTCTAGTTGGTTTTCTACCTTCTTCATCTCACATAATCTGTACACACCCACTTAACCCCTTTCCATCACTATTGACTTTTTCTCTATACCTGGCCCTAATCATCTCACACCCAGACTGTTGTACCTGCCCCTCATTGTCTTCCTTCTCTTATTCTCCCTCAATTTGGCCAAGCGAAGTTTCCTAAAATGGCTCTCTTCATGTGCTGCTGACCTGTGAAAAATGAGGAGCGGGACCCGAGTGCCCTTCCTCAGTCTGCTCTCTGTGTGCTTCTCTGGTCCTCTCCCTTCCTCCTCCCTCCTTCTTCCTCCCTCGCCAGTCTCAACTGTCCATGCCCCTTAATTGCAAAAGGCATATCAGCATGGGGGGTGAGGGTGTGGTCCTGGCAGTCCAGTGGCCTGAGCCTGAATCCTGCCCTACCAGCCCGTGACCTCAGACAAGTTAGGTAACTTCTCTGGCCTCTTTTTGCTAATCTGTTAAGGGGTACAATAAGGCTGTGTAAGGATTGTATGCAATACTCTAGGTAAAAGTGCGTGGAGCAGTGTCTGCCACTTAGTAAGTACTGTTAGCTGCTGCTGTTATTATCACTCCGGTTTCTGTGCTTTGTTCCTGTTACTTGTTTCACTTTTTTAAGTCCTTCACTTCCTCCATGGCTCCATATTATCTTGTCTCCCGTTTCCTGACAGCACTGGTTCATAGCAGGTCCTTTCTCATGTTTTCAGCTGTCCTTGCAGTACCGGTGCCATGCACAGCACTATTCCAGCCACAGTGGCCTGCCTCTGTGCCTCCGACACTTCAGCCACACTCCCATCTCATGACCTTTGTGATGCTGTTTCTGCTTGGAATGCTCTTCCCCCAGATGGCTTGTGGCTGCTCCTTCTTCATCCTGGTCTCTGTTTCCCTCAGAGAGACTTTCCCCCACTATGCTATTTAAAATAGCATTCCTCTTCACCTTACATACATTAACCTGCTGCATTCTTGTCATATTTATCACTACCAGGCAAGTATAATTATTTTTTTCTTATCCCCAGTTGGACTGCAAGCTCCGTGAGAGGATAGACTTTGTTTTGTTCACAACCTTATCCCTAGAACCTAGAAACATTCTTGGCATGTGGTAGGAGTTGAAACGTGTTTCTTTTGTTTTTTAGTTTTTAATGTTGTGGGTACAAAATGGATGTATTTATGAGTTACATGAGACATTTTGATACTGGCATGCAATGTTTAATAATCACATCAGGGTGAGTAGAGTATCCACCACCTCAAGCATTTATCCTTTGTGTGAAATGTGTTTCTTTGATAAATGTTTGGTAATAACAGCTTTTCTAGATGTACATTCCAGCATTAGATGTGTAGAAACTGATTCAGAAAGGGAGTGCACACATACAATAGGAGAATCATGCTTTTACGTGAACCCTGCCAGGTGCATGAGGCCAGGGAGGAAGATTGTTGCTGAATGATGCTGAATAAGTGATTTCATCAGCAACATTTAAGGGTCCCTGCTGTGGTACAGGACTGGACAAGGTGTTATGGGAGATACACAGGCATAATACAGTGCCCTTGTCTCAAAAGTGTTGTACTCTTTCTTACTTGGGAAGGTAAGAATAAATACGTAAGAAGTTAAATACCAACCCACACTGAAAGAAATGTTGCCAAATTCTGAATGATTATCAGTGATTATTACCGACCAAAGGTTGGCAAAATTTATTTGCAAAGGGCCAGATAATAAATATTTTAGGTTTGTCATAACTGCTCAACTCTGTCGTCAGAGCTCAAAAGCAGCTGTAAACTTTAGGGTAAGTAACAAGTGGGCATTGTTTGATTTGGCCTTAAGGCCTTTGCCAACCTCTCCTATTGACAGGAAATTCTGTAGATTTTGTGGAGTGGTCATGAAAGGTTTTTCTAAGGAGTTGCATCTTGAATGGAGAGTGAGTGGTTGAATGAAAGGAGCAATTGAATGAGAGGACAAATTAGATTATATATGGAATGCTTAGGAGACATGGAACAAATCAGCCTAGCTAGTGTTTAGACACTTGGTTCCTTATTAAATAGATTTCTGTTGTAGGGGCATTTCTGAACATAAAGCACTAAGAAAGTCCTGACTTTAAGCTTGCACCTGGTGCATTAGGCAAGTATTGTTACCCCTACTATATTTGGAAGTAAGGATGGAAGCCTTGAGTAATTGCTCTGCTTCTAACCTGCTTCCTGCAGCAGAAATATAATTGCCTATCCTTTCTAGAGTGAGATTGTTTAGGTTCGCTTCCCAGCTGTACCAACTATTAGCTGTGTGACATTTAGCAAGTGACTTAATCACTCTGAGCCTCGTTTTCTCCATCTGTGAGAGAAGGATAATAATTATGTTGGGATTATGAGATGTAGTGGGATAATCTATGTAAAGTGCTGAGTACAGTAGTACTGGTAATAATAAAGCTTGGAAAATGATGGCTGTTATTTTTATGACCTCTAAATTAGATTGAAAACATTAGTGTTGTTTTGTTGGAATTATCTTAAATTCCTACCAAAGTGTGTATATGCTCAGGAAGCTTGACTGTGCCACTTTGCATAAATAGATTAAACTGATGAGCTTTATAAAAAAGATATACATGATGGAAATATTTGCCCGCCTTAGCCTTATCTCAAAGAGACAAATCCCTCCTAACCATTCTTAATTCATAATCCTATGCTTAAGAATTGCTAATCATAGAATATACCTGTGCAGGTTGATAGCTGTAGTTCAAACTGTCGGTGTGTCTGGAAATTCCAAGGTCAAAATTATAGATTAAAGTGATTCCAGGGTAGTAGTGCCCCCAGCTATACCTGCATATCCTCTCTGGAAGAACAATAGACTTTAAACCCAGATCTCACAAGCTTTGTACAGATTAAGTTCCAAGGAATGTAAGTTAGCAAAAACAACAAAACTCCTCATAACAGCACTATAAGCAAGGTTTGGTAGAAATAAGAATCAATAAACTGCAGAATCAGTTGGCAGCAGAGACTTCGAATATTGGAATTGGCAGATACAGACTATAAAATATACTTAATGTAATTCTTAGAAGAATTAAAAGAAAGTATAGAAACAAGTATAGAATTAGAAGCTATTATAATTGACCAGTTGTATTTAAAAGAATCAGTAGCAATGTGCTAGTACAGCCTGGATATTTAGTGGCTCCTGTCTTGCCCTGGCAGACCAGGTTTGCACACACATGCATACACACTGACACAGTGTTTTTTGGTTTATTCCATTCAACAAACATTTTTTATACCAAGCATTGTGTTAAGCACTGGGTAGAGAAGACCAAGAATATGATTACAAGGTGATGCTTATCTTTAAGAAGCTTATAGTCTACTGTTGCCTTTGTTTTCCAAAGGTGGTCAGTCTTTGGAAGGCTGAAGACAAAAGACAATGGAGACCTCAGTCTTAATGGCCTAACAAGATTTTTTGGCTGCCATTTTGCTGCCCACACATAGCCAGGTCTGTCCTCCAGCATACTAGTCAGCTCAGTTCACCTAGACCAAAAATCAGTACACCTTCAGTACATAGTGCCCACTATTTTGGAGTTGTCATTTCCTTGGTAGAGTCCTTTGATACCAGGGATTTCTCTAGGTTTGGGACTTTATAAGCTCCCTGCTGCCTAGAATTCCTAACTCACTGCCCAAAGAATTCATTTATTTAAAAAATTAGGGCAATATATTAATAGGAAAACTGCCCATTTATTCCCAGGCATTTTATCACTTCAAGAAGTAACTGAAATATAAACAATATTAATTCTGAATATCCTAACCTAGTGTAGTAAAGACATTTATATAAGTACTTACAAGGTCCAAGTGAAGTAATTCACATCATGAAAGAATGAAATACTGTAAGACAATAGGGAAAGAGTGACATTTTGTCTGAGTAGGCGCCTGAAAGTTTCAAAAAGGACATGGCATTTGAACTGGGGTTTGAAATGACATTTTGATAGTTGGTTAAGGAGGTGGGGATTGTGTAGGGCATCCTAGCCTGAAAGAAGAGCAAGAGCAAAGGTACAAGTCAGAGGCTTAAAAATATGAGAACGGTTTCTGCAGAGGTGAGAAATGTGGCTGAAATTTACAAAAATGGCACTCTTACATCCCCCACTGTGGAGTTTCCTCTTTCTGTGCTCTCCACCCACTTTTCCCTGTTACTGTGCATCTCCTGTGTTCCACTTGGGATGACCCCTGTTGAGATACTTGGAGAGGAATAACTTCCCTGTGCATATTAATGAGACTGCCAGAAATAAAATGTTTTATGTATGTAACTGTGAAACCAAATTTTCATGTGCATTACTAAATGATATCTTGGAATGGGTGATTGGGGACTGTTTTTCAGGTTGAAAATATCCTCTTGCATGACCGAGGCCACTATGTCCTGTGTGACTTTGGAAGTGCCACCAACAAATTCCAGAATCCACAAACTGAGGGAGTCAATGCAGTAGAAGATGAGATTAAGAAGTAAGCTTTTTCTCCTTTCTTGGAGTTTTGTCCACAATCAGATGAGCAACTTTGCTTTCAGCTCATGGATGAGAAGGTCAGGTGGGAAGAGAATGGTGATAATCAGTTGTCCTTCAAATCAGAGCATCATGTTCATGGTTGGGTTTTTTGACTTTAAGTGAAGAACGAGGAGGGGGTTTACAAGCATACATCAGAGTAAAAGGAAGGACTCTGAGAGTGCTTTATCAGTGGTCCTGTGGTCATTGTACATAGATATTTTGATTTATAATATCACAGAGCCTGTAAAAAGCTGAGAGGTGCACACACCATGAAAGTACTAGGATGTTTTTAAGTATGATCATAACAACCATGATATTATCAGTCAAACAGATGTGCTTTTTACTGAACCCTAAATTGCTGCTTCCTTCCTGCTCATAAGGCAGTCTAAGTGGAAATAATGGTGAGTAGGTTATTAAAGTCTCCGCAAATACTGAATCACAGACTTTCACAAGAAAAAGCTTATTTAGATTTGTGACTCCAATAAGAGCTTGACCCATTTTCCCCTCATGTCCACAGTGTTGGATTTTTTTTACAGGCCACAGCACTCACTGTTACTTGTAATAAATCAACAGTCTAGCCTGCACACCTACATCCTGATCTTCTCTGTCCTTTCATGCATCATCTCAGACAACCACCCCTGGGGCAGGAAGACCCTGATGGACCTAAGGCCCTGAGGGACGCCTGGACCCATCCCATCTGGGATCTAGAGACTCAAGCAGCATAAATCACATGCTTGGTAACACCAAGACACTCACTGTGAGGATGTGCTTATACTACTTTTTTCTTGAGCAAGAGATAAAACTGATATTTCAGCCTGATTCCAGGAGCAAAGATGAAGGGCTGATGATTCCATCCACTCCCCATCCCAGTCAGAGCCCACTTTCTGCTCTTCTCCAGAGTACCCCAGTCAGTATTACATCTCTGTGTTGACACACATTTAAAGGCCATTTTTAAAACAACAAATTGACAAAATATAGTATCAGAATAAGAGTTTATAAGAGAAGATTTTGTTATTTGAGGGCCCAAGAAAAGTTGCTTTTCAAATTTATTTAATGCATTAGTGTCCGAGTACCCACATGTTCTTAGACTAGGAGGACTTTTGCCAAAGGTCCATGGTGTGATGATATGATTGTACCAAGAACAGCCTTGCATTTTATTTGCACTAATATTTCATACTCTCTTCTGCAGATTGCTCCCAGGGATTCTATTAATGTAAAAAGGAAAAAAAAAAGTATTTCTGCCTCTCCTGGTTTTTAATTATTGTATTGACATATTTAATAAAAACGAATCTCTTGATTGTAGATACACAACACTGTCCTATCGAGCACCAGAAATGGTCAACCTGTACAGTGGCAAAATCATCACTACGAAGGCAGACATTTGGGTAGGTGTCAAGTAACCTATCCATACCTCAGATAGCAGCAGTCTTGATTGTAAATTCCCAAGAGTAATGCACACAGTGCTATAGCATGGTGGCTACTGTACCATATCCTTATCTACTTACCTCTCAAGGCTATTCTTGTTGTGGGAAGACCGACCACTGCTTCTTGAAGCATGATAAAATTACTTCCAAACTCTGTGAAAATTATTTAGGTATTTTTTTCATGCAAATATTGCTAGTTCTTTTTTTTGATACAGAGTCTCGCACTGTTGCCCAGGCTACAGTGCAGTGGCGCGATGTTGGCGTACTGCAATCTCCGCCTCCTGGGTTCAAGCAACTCTCCTGCCTCAGCCTCCCTAGTAGCTGGGACTACAGGCGGGCGCCACCATGCCCACCTAATTTTTTTGTATTTTTAGTAGAGATGGGATTTCACCATATTGGCCAGGATGGTCTTAATCTCCTGACCTCATGATCCACCCGCCTTGGCCTCCCAAAGTGCTGGGATTACAGGCGTGAGCCACCATGCCCAGCCCATGTTACTAGTTCTTAAGAGCAAAACAAATACTTATTCTTTACTGGAGCACGATTTGATAATAATGGTACAAATAATGTAACTCAGCTGCTGAACAGTGGTGTTGGGTTTTAAAACTCATGTTTCTAATACATTGATAGTCTATAGTTTTTATATCTGCTAGTAAATGTGGATGGTGTGTTTCTCCTTAGATCCGTTTACAGTCATGATAAATAGACCACTAGTAGCAATCTGCTATGTTTTTTTTTTTAGGCTCTTGGATGTTTGTTGTATAAATTATGCTACTTCACTTTGCCATTTGGGGAGAGTCAGGTGGCAATTTGTGATGGAAACTTCACAATTCCTGATAATTCTCGATATTCTCAAGACATGCACTGCCTAATTAGTAAGTATTTTAAGTTTCTAGTTTCATATTTTTATTTCTATTCACAAAGAGTGAATTGGGGGATAAAGGTTTACGATTTCAGGAATAATGAATTAGATGCAAAGATAAAGAAATTGGTTGATAATGATTGGGAACTCACAATGTAACAGTGTCTAGTTAGAGCAGTGGGTCTTTTTGCTAGAATTCTTAAGTTCTGCTTCACACCTGAGTCCAGCCACCCAAGCAGAAATCCTAACTGTGCCTTGAGCAGTATAGTGCTTCTATATTCTGTTGCAATCTCTATGAAAGCTCTTGTACCAAAGGAGTCCAGCTGACTCATATCAAGTGATAAGAAATTCATCTTTGCAAAACTGGAAGCAATTCAAATGAAAATGATTGCAGTGCATTGACTGGAGTGAATACGTAATTAAGACTATATAACTCCATGGAACCAGGTTTTTCCTCTCATTTAGGTTAATCACTGGATTTTGATAACAAGCACCTAAACTCAATGCTTTCTTAAAAATAGTCTTAAGATTCCCCACTATTTGGTATCATCATAGCAAGCATATGTACTAACATTCATTAACCAGATGGTAGAATAAGTAATCTTAAAAAAAAAAAAAAAAAGGAATCTTTGCACAAGCCCCTGTACTAAAATGCTAAAGAAGCAGAGATTTTTATCTTCTTTCCACATTGGTTGAGACTCTTAGCATCTAAGTTTTAATTGTTATGGATTGATTACAAATCCTGAGCAACCCAGTTTGGGTCCTGCATGGGGATACACTGGAAAAAAGAGAAGCAGCAAATGTGGGTGGAGCATCTGACATTTGTTGAGGACCTACTTATGCCTCATTTAATTCTTAAAATCCTTTATATATTAAGTGTAATTATTCCCATTACACAAATGAGGAAACTGAAGCTCAGAAAATGTAGGTAACTTATCCAGTTAACACAGATACAGCTTTTAAGGTATTGCTCATTCTGTTGTGCCAGTTTTGTCAGTCAGCCTCTTCCATTTATTAACAAAAAAAGGTAATATTTAAAGGACTAGATTATGACATTTAATGATTGTTGGATTGTTTTCAGAGATAAAGCATTATATCCATATTAGAATTCCAGGTATGTAAGTGAAATTGGTAGGAAGTATGGGAAAATGGCCAACTTTGATGTTAGACTAGTATTATTTTTTGATGATTTTTAAAAACATTTATGTAGTAAATTCATATTGAGAAAAACAACTCTTTATGAATGTCTATACCATGAATATCTTTCCCAAACTGCTTGCAAACCATTTGGCAACTCCACTGTCACCCTAAACTCACAGATCTAAAATTAAGTTTATCATCATTAGCCCTCCTTCCTTCTCTTTACCCCCAATACCCATTCCCCTGCCTTCTTTTCAGTTTTTCTCAGTGGTATCACCATCAAAGCCTAGAAAAATAAAATTTAAGATTTCTTTGGATCCAGCTAGCAGGAGAGAGGAAAGTTTCGATCATTTACTCGGCCATAATTATTCCTTTTTTGGAGTTTCTACTGTTTTTATTGCGTTCTTTATATGTACGTTACCGTCACTGTAGTATATACAGACTCTGTCAGCTCATGCCTCTACTGTTGGACTGGTCACCAGCTTTTCTCTTCTCTCTTCGATCCATCCAGCACACCCTCACCAAAAGATTCCTCTTATAAAACACCACCTCTCATGTCCCTGATTAGAAAACTCCAGTGGCTTGCCAATGGTCCCACAGTAGGGCCCAGCTTTTTAGCATGGCATTTAAGATTCTGATTCTGATTGCATTCCACCCACTCAGCCTTCTCTCTACCCTGTCCTTCTGGCTCCTCTGTTTCTGTGCAGCAAGGCATTCTCTTGTCTTTCTCCAAGTCCTTCTTTGCTAAGACTGTTCTCTCAACTGGATGTCTTTTTCTCTTTCTCCCTGACTGAATTCTGTCCTGCTTTCAAGGGCCAGGCCAAGTCCTTCCTCTTCCGCAAGGCAGTCAAAAGGCTGCAGCCTCACTGATCTTTTTGGAACTCAGTGTCCAGAGCATTCACTTTATTATTTAAGCAATCAGCTGCCTTGCATTGTTGTTTGCATATATACATGTGTGTTTGTATTTAGATTTTTTTTTCCTGAGGATTTCTCCAGCCTCAGAGAGGCAGAAGCTTAAAGGACCTGGAAATAGTCAAGTAATCTATAGGTCACAGGAAAAGCAGATATGCATATGTTACTTTGTAATTTCTTTTAATCTGGAAACCAGCTAATATTTCCAACAAAAGAATAATAAGTAAACTCATTAAGTTTGGGTTTTGGTTATAATTATTAAGAATAATCATTCGTTTAGTGAGATAAGATGAACCAAGGAAGCCCATGGTAAGACTGTGTAACCGCCTCGATATCAGAGTATGAAGGTGAGCGCTTGAGTCCCTCTGGTGCAAAGCATAGAGTATGAACTTTAAGTATCTTTGTTGTAATTCACATATTTTATTTTCTTATGGATATTAAATGTTTTATATTCAGGAACATTAGAACTTCTCTAAGGGGAGAAAAGAGGCTAATTATACTGTCTGACTTCTATGAAAAATAAAAACTTGAAAACAAAACATTGGGAGTGGAGAGAGGAATGATGTTTCCTAGCTATGCAATAACTGTTGGAATATTATTAAATAAGTTCACCTATGTTTGCCTTAGGGTATATGTTGGAACCAGACCCTGACAAAAGGCCGGATATTTACCAGGTGTCCTACTTCTCGTTTAAGCTACTCAAGAAAGAGTGCCCAATTCCAAATGTACAGGTACGTGGGTGATGCTATTTAAAGGGAGTTAAACATTATCAAATTGCCGTTTTGAGTTCCTGGGGTGCTAATCAGCTATTTAAATGAATATAGATGTCCTTTGCTTTAGCTACTAGAGGGCATTCAAACAAAGCTAACTGTGAAGCAATTGCCATAAAGGGAATCCAATTTTCCCATGGAATTTAATTATAAAACTGAAGCAATTGTACTGAACAAAAAAATGCCCTAGGGATTGAGATGAACACTTTCGATGAAGATTGACCAAATTCATGCCTATCAACTCTTCAAGTTCTCTGAGAACCACATGCCTGGTGTAGCCACCTGAAGGTGATTTGGCAGGCTGCCTTCCAGAAGCGTGGTCTTGGACATGCCCCCGTGCCTTTTAGAACCTATACCCCTTGTCCCTGTTCTCCTTCCTTGCAGCAGAGCTTCCTTGATTTTGCTTCTGCTGTTAGCCATTTATAACTCACACTCCTCTTTCTCTGTCCTTCCAACACATCAAGACATACGAATATTTTCTACATTTAGTAATCCTAAACTCTGCACTCACAACTGTCAGAGTAAAATGCTTGCAAATGTCTTTTTTACAATCCTTGCATATTTTTCGTGTCATATTATGATCTATTTTTCTTAAATATTTTATTAATGGATGCTATAATAAATAGATCCTGACCTGAAATTTTCTTACTAGTTTCTCAAGTAATGGGCTTTTGATTTCACTGTTGGGGCTTAAGGGTGCTGCTTCTCTTTCACTCTCACTTTTGGAATCAGATGTGGGGTTCATCCAGGTGGAGCTCAGAATATTGGCTTTGTTACTAATAAGCTTGAGTCAGAAGATGTAGCTTGACCAATCAGGCTCCCTAGCATTAGACCACATGACTCAGATGTAAACACCTGATTGCTGGGGGACCGGCTCTTCTATAAAGGAAGGAGGGCAATAGCAAACTGGACCAGCTCACTTTTTCCGCAGTCTTATCAGTCACAGAAGTCAACTCTTCTCCTTTCGGAGAGGAATGCTTGAAGAAGAGGAAATGCGAGAAATTTTCTAGCAGAGATTCCCCCCACCTGGAAACATGAAGGAAGTGAGAAGACCCTCCTAAAAGGCCAGTTTTATCACCAGTATTCTGTGTGTTGGGTTTCCCAGATTAAAGCGAGGGATACTGTGCAGTAACCTGCCATGACTGTGTCTTCTTTTGTAGTCCCACTTTACCATTCATAGAGTTAGATAATGTGAAATCTAAGTGAAAGCATTCAGATTGGTAACTAGCTTTTTAAAAGTACACCTCACAAGTCTCATGTCATTTGGTACTCAGTAGTGGTAAGCATTTGTTTTAGGGTTAGGGACAGCTAGCTGGTGCTCCCTCACGAAGCATTGTTAGATGGATAGTGCAGATTTCAAGCCAGAGGAACTCTCCTTGGCTTGTGGATTGAGTAGTGCCTTACATGTTGGGAAGGGGTACTGGCTCAGCAGCCATACACAGGGGTGGCTGTGGTTTTCTCTGAGCAGACTCAGTGCACCCTGGTTTGACACATTGGTAACCTCAAATGAAGATCTGTCTGGGATCCAGAATAATACCAGCTACAGACATTTCCTTCCCATTCCTTTCATAGCATCAGTTCCAAGCTGTGCTATAGGAGGAGAAGGGTACTGAGAAGATTAAGCCGCAGTGACTCAGCATGGTACACAAGGTTGGGGGAGCGTATGCTATGTACAAGCTACTCTCTCCTCTTCTCTGATACTTTACTTCCCTGACTGTGGCTGAGTCTGATACGCTTTTGGTTAACTTTCCTTCCCTCTACCAGACAGAGCTCAGGGCCTGGAAGCTGCTCCAGAAGATCCCAAAATGTATTTCCATCAGCTCTCAGTCCCAATCAGGCTGCTTATTCTTTAGCAAAAGAAATCTGTGATATCCTTTTTTTTTTTTTTCCTTTTCTGCAATTCTATAGAACTCTCCCATTCCTGCAAAGCTTCCTGAACCAGTGAAAGCCAGTGAGGCAGCTGCAAAAAAGACCCAGCCAAAGGCCAGGTAAGACATGCCTTCATGAGCACATGTCCTCCTTGGATTGCCACAGCTGCAGGGAATGATACCTGTGTTTCTTGATCCTTATGTATGAAAGAGAATCGAGAACTCTAAAGCTGTTTTCTTTGCATGGGAATAGGCTCAGGGGCATTCAAAGATGAGGCAACAGTAGACTTTAAATGTTGCTAGTATGGCGGGGCTTGGTGGCTTACATCTGTAATCCCATCACTTTGGGAAGCCAAAGAGGGTGGAACCTGAGGTCAGAAGTTCAAGGCCAGCCTAACCAACATGACAAAATCCCATCTCTACTAAAATTATAAAAATTAGCCAGTTATGGTGGCACATGCCTGTATTCCCAGCTACTCGGGAGGCTGAGGCAGGAGAATCACTTGAACCTAGGAGGTGGAGGTTACAGTGAGCTGACATGGCACGATATCATTCCAGCCTAGACAACAGAGCCAGACTCCATCTCAAAAAAAAAAAAAAAAGAGGAAGGTTGCTAGTACAAGAGTATCTGAAACATTAGCCAGGCGTGGTGGCACCTGCCTGTGGTCCCAACTGCTCTGGAGGCCGAGGCAAGGGAATTGCTTGAGGTCAGGAGTTTGGGATCAGACTGGGCAATACAGCGAGATCCTATCTCTTTGAAAAAAAAGCAAAAAGTATCCTAAACATGTGTCCTGGCTTTTGGTTAGCCATATTCAGCACCCTAATACTCAGCCTCCCTTTCCTTTTTACTTTCTGTGGCTCCAACCACATTAGGAAAGTGTAGGTCAAAGCACCAGGTCCATGAACAGCAGAAGACTCTCTGCGTCTTAGCTGATCACAGTCTATTCAACCTAGGGACTTCCAAAAAGCAGATGCCAAAAGAGGATTAAACAAACAAAGATGTTATTTGGGGAAATGCCCAAGTGAGAAAAAACAGGGAGGGAGCCAGGAAAGGCTGGGAAGGCCATCGGAAGGCAATGCTTAAGAAGAGAGACAGAGGACATGCACCAGTTATTTCTTATGGTTTCTGGAAATGGCAACATAATAATCTTACATCTCATGTAATGCCAGGACTTAGAAACAGGATCATATCAATTTGCAAAAGAGACTGGGCAATGTGATTTTTATTCTGGGTGACCCTGTGCCCAACTAAAACTTTTGTTACTATGGAAAAAAAGTAGTATCTATATTGGAGGAAATGGAGTTTCTGTCACACTTCCCATTTTTAAATGCTTTGACTTGAATTATTTACTTTTTCCTTCTAGTGCCATGTTGGATTCACTCATTTGCATGCTTTTCATTGTAGAGAGACCACTTTGACAGCTAGTTGCTGCCCAGTTTGAATTCTCTCTGCATCTGAAAACCACGTGCCTCAAACCCCTCTTTGCATCGTCACCCAAAGTGTATTTTGGGAAATCCTAGGAGGTGCTGAGTAAAAGGGCCACAGGATGAAATAAGCTTGAGAAACACTGCATTCTATATAGCATTTTCTTTGAGATTCTCCATGCCATGCATATTCACACATGAAAAGCTCTGCTAGAAGGAGAGCCACTCAGTATATTTTGATCAGTGTTTTACAAATTTATTTGCCCACCAAGCCTGTTTTCAGAAGGTCTTGTAACATAATGACATCCTGTGGAAGATCTTTTGGGAAGCGTCAATTAAGCAGATCTGGAAGGTTTGGGTTGATGTGGAAGTGGAAGCATCGTGTCCTCTGCTCATACCCTTCCATTTTTCCCATACTTTAATATGAACCTTTCTGTTTTCCCTTTCTAGACTGACAGATCCCATTCCCACCACAGAGACTTCAATTGCACCCCGCCAGAGGCCTAAAGCTGGGCAGACTCAGCCGAACCCAGGTATCCTTCCCATCCAGCCAGCCCTGACACCCCGGAAGAGGGCCACTGTTCAGCCCCCACCTCAGGCTGCAGGTTAGTATCTAGATTGGTTTGAAGCTCAGTATACCTCTTTGTTATTCTGGACAACAGGGAAATCTTGGAAAGCCTGGTTTGCTTTAGGATTGGAATCCAGAGGTGCATAGAGATAGCAGTGTTCCTTGAGGAACAGGAAGAAGCTGCCATTGAAATTGTATGGCAATGGCCAGGCATGGTGGCTTATGCCTGTAATCCCAGCAGTTTGGGAGGCTGAGGTGGGTGAATCACCTGAGGTCAGGAGTTAATTTCAAGACCATCTTGGCCAACATGATGATAACCCATCTCTACTAAAAAAAATATATAAAAAATTAGCCAGGCATGGTGACATGCACCTATAATCTCAGCTACTGGGGAGGCTGAGCCAGGAGAATTGCTTGAACCCGGGAGGCAGAGGTTACAGTGAGCCGAGACCATGTCTTTGCACTCCCGCCTGGGTGATAAGAGTGAAACTCCATTTAAAAAAAAAAAAAAAAAAAAAGACAGAAAGAAATTGTATGGCATATCAAAATATCCTCCTTTAATTCTGAGATGGATCTCCAAGACCGCTAAAGCCCGTTGTCTCTGTCTTTTTCTAGACGTGGCCCTGATTTTTGGGGTTTAGAACCTTATCCTACCTCTTTATTTCATATATTTCCCTTTGCCTTTAAAGAAACAAGACTCTTCCGAAGTGTTGAGTTCAGTCCAGGGCATCTTCCCTGTTCTGTTAATTAAACTTTGGGACATTGAAATGGGCCAAGGGAGATGATTGGGTAGAAAGCATGATTCTATTCATTTGCCTCCTAGCCTACAAAAATGCCTCCTTGGGTCTAATAAATCAACAGTTAAAGATGCCTAGAAGAGACAGGACTGAAGAGGCTGAAGGGCTTGGACTAGCAAACAGGTTACATTCAATTTTAGGAAGTTTGGGGTCTGATTAGCTGAGATACAAAGAAACTGATTTGTTTTCATATATGCACCGCCCCCCCCCCGCCAAAAAAAAATAGAAACAAGACTCATCTCTTTTGACATTCGCAGAGGAATATTGTTTCCTTAATGCTTTTCCCTTGAAGTATCTACCACACCTTCATGTTTTGGTATTCTGTTTCTAATGAGTTGAGTGAGCTTTGTTTCATAAGAAGGATTGATTCAAAATATCAAGTAACTGAACTCTACCAGGAAGCTGCTTTTGGTGAATGTGGTGGCCATCTACTTATAGTCAAGCATCCAGACTGGGATAAGCTACATGTAAATCACCAGGGAATGATTTTGTCATGCTGCATGCCAAGAGGGGCAAAACTTAGGTATATGTACCAAAGGCCAGTTGAATAGATAGACACTTAGGGTGCCAAATTAAGTTGTAATTGACTAAATGGGGTGATTAATAAAGGAATACTTTCTTAAGGAGGCATTATTGAACCTTGTTTTGAAAAATTTGAAATACATAATTTAGCAAGAAGATAGAAAGACATTCCAGGTGGGACAGAGCATGGGGAAGGACAGTGAGGAGCACATGTATCTTGGGATAATCTGCCCATTTGTCACCCCCTATTAACTGTTTTGGCAAGACAGAAAGCCACTTTTGTCTGGAAGAGTTTGGAGCCCTTACATGGAGTTTATTCTCTTTGCAGGATCCAGCAATCAGCCTGGCCTTTTAGCCAGTGTTCCCCAACCAAAACCCCAAGCTCCACCCAGCCAGCCTCTGCCACAATCTCAGGCCAAGCAGCCACAGGCTCCTCCCACTCCACAGCAGACGCCTTCCACTCAGGCCCAGGGTTTGCCCACTCAGGCCCAGGCCACGCCCCAGCACCAGCAGCAACTCTTCCTCAAGCAGCAACAGCAGCAGCAACAGCCACCACCACCACAGCAGCAGCCGGCGGGCACATTTTACCAGCAGCAGCAGCAGGCCCAGACTCAGCAGGTAAGGTGGTCAGAGTGTGACCCTTGCTTGCATATCTGAGTCATGACTATGACAAGGCCCACTAGGTAAAGGTATCTTCCCAGAGAGCCATTAGACATTACGTCACCATTTCTCATAGATGTAGATACTAAAGCATTGAGAAGTGGATCCATCACACACACCCCTTCATCCTTTTTCTCAGGCCATAAGGAATCTGTCACCTGATTGAGGAACATCAGTACAAGAGCTATTTTTTAAGGACTGCTTTTTTTTTTCTAATATAATTGTAGCACCATTATCATAATAGAGGAAAAAATAGCAAGTTTCTTATTATCAAATATGCATGAGTATTTAACTGTTTCTGATGTCTCATAATTAAGTTGGCTTGTTTGAATCAGTATCCAATAAGAAGAGATTGTATTAAGTTGGCCTATATTGTTTTCCATTATCTTTTCATATATTTTTCCACATTTTTTACTATGAACGTATTCATTTTATAATGATTAGTATATCTTTTTTTTTTTTGGAGATAGGGTCTTGCTCTGTTTCCCAGGCTGAAGTGAAGTGGTGTGGTTATAGCTCACTGCAACCTCCAATTCCTGGGCTCAAGTGATCATCCCAGCTGAGTCTGTCAAGTAGCTAGGACTATTAAGCATGTGCCACTATGCCTGGCTAATTTTTATTGGTAGAGATAGGGGGTCTCATTATTTCGCCCAGGCTAGTCTCAAACTCCTGGCCTCAAGCCATCCTCCCACCTCAGCCTCCCAAAACACTGGAATTACACACACTAGCCAATGCGGTTGGCTGATATATCTTTTAAGTCCCCTTTTATCCATAGTTTCCTTCTCCCTTTTTTTTTTTCTCCTTTTCATCATTTAATTTTTCAAAGAAATTGGATCATTTGTCTTGTGGAATTTTCCGCATTCTGGGTTTAGCTGATTGCATGCTGTGGTGTCATTTGATGTGTCTGACCATCTTCCATGTACACTGGTAATTTCTTGAGGCTTACTCAGTATTCGATTCAATCTGACAGTTGTTCTTTGTTCTTCCTGTTGCATGGTGTCAGGAGGTCTGTAATGCCTCTATTTCATTAATATTAAGATCAGGGAGCATGTACTTTCAGATCTCCCTGAAGACCACGTTTTCCAAAAACATTTAAAAAAGGAAAAAAAAAAAAAAAAGATCAATCAGTATGTTGAGCTGTTGTCTGTCTGATCCATTTGTTTAACATTCCCAATTAGCTTAGCAGCCATAGCTGATCATTTCCCAGGTTCCTTAATTCATCAAGAATGGTACAATGATATTCTAGCCCTCTTCATTTGGGGGCTGTAAGTTTTCCATGAAGAAATTTTTTCATCAACTCTTTAGTTACCCTGAGGTATTGTTTATACAGAAAAGGCAGGAGAAACACTTGATTCTTTCCTTTTGTTTACTGGTTTTCAGAGAAATAAATTTGTTCCCTCTTAGCATCCAAAGGTGAACAGTGAGGTTTTTGTTTTGTTCAGTTTAGTATCATTAGGAATTCTTAGATTTTAACATATTTGATATATTTGAATACAGTGCTCTTTTTGTATGTGTATGTTTACTAGAGATGGGGCCTTGCTGTGTTGCCCAGACTGGAGTGCAGCGACTATTCACAGGCAGGATCCCACTACTGATCAGCACAGGAGTTTTGGCCTGCTCTATTCCCAATCCGGGCTGGTTCAACCCTCCTTAGGCAACCTGGTGGTCCCCTGCTCTCGGGAGTTCCCCATACTGATGCTGAACTTAATGCAGACACCCAACCGGCATATCACACTACAACCCAGAACTCCCGGGCTCAAGCAATCCTCCTGCCTCAGCCTTCTGAGTAGCTGGGGCTATAGGCACACACCACTGTGCCTCGTATATTGCAGTTTTTAAAAATTTATTTTAAAGCTCATATTGTCCCAACTTTGACCAGTGGAAGTCTATTCAAATTGACTCCTAAGTCCTTTGGATGTAACTCCAGTGGTGTTTAATGATTTCCTTGCTATCTAGGATCATGCTGCCCTCTAGGATTATACTGCCCTCGACTTGAAATCATCCATTTTTCTTAGGAACTCGATTTCCTTTTAGTGGAAATAATGTTTAGAAACCACAGTTTTGATGCTAGAGATACCATTTGCCTAATGGATTGGTTGTTGTTTCTAGGTCTTCTCAGTGGACAATTAGAAAATATGTTTTGTTTTGTTTTGTTTTGTTAGAGAATAGGCATTATGAATTCAGGTTTATATTCCTAATTTGGATTTGTAATTGCTGGATTTCTGTTTAACTTCTTGGATTTTGTTGTATTTTTATCTGGAAATCTTGAGTCTTAACAGCATTAACGTAGTTAATTAATTGATGTGTCGTTTTAAGATAGCAATAACTATATGATTACTGAAAAGAGTTTAAGATTTCCTTGCCCTTTTTACCCTTAGAATGTTTATCACATTATTTTCTGGAGCATTCAACTACCAATTTGACAAACTGGTTTATTTGCATGGTTTTGCTTTTGATTTTTAGTTATTGCTTTTTAAATTTTAGTTTAATTCTGTTTTGTGGGTATGTAAAACGTTTTCATAGTTTCAAAGTTAAATCTGCAAAATTTCATCTCCTGCCAACCCATATATAGAGGGTATCGCTCATTCCTATTTACAATTCCAGAGTATTCCATTTGATATTTCCTTCAGGCTATATCCATCATGGCTTATTTAATCAGCCAGTCTCCTGTTGATAGACATTTGGGTTGTTTCCACTATTTTGCTGTTTTATAGACAGCTATTTTTTTGACATTTTCTATTTTGTTAACCCTTTAACTTTGCCCCAGTAGACAAACAGTATCCTCCCAATTGACTCTAATAACTACATGGGATGTTCAGAGATACAGTCTTGACCTTAGTTCATCGGCAGGCCCTTATTTTGAGCTCTTTCTGTACGTAGCACATAACCCTTAACAGTGGGGATTAGAGAGACATATAACAAGTATGGGCCAGGCACAGTGGCTCATGCTTGTAATCTCAGCACTTTGGGAGGCTAAAGCAGGAGGATTGCTTAATACCAGGAGGTTGAGACAGCCTGGGCAACAATTGTGAGACTGTGTGTCTACCAAAAATAAGAAAAAAAATTAGCCAGGCATGGTGGTGTGCACCTGTGATACCAGCTACTCAGGAGACTGAGGTGGGATGATCACTTGAGCCCAGGAGATGAAGGGTGCAGTGAGCCAAGATTGTGCCACTACATTCCAGCCTGGGCAATAGTGCAAGACCCTGTCTCAAAAAAAAAAAAGTGTCATAGAGTATATTGACTATTTTGGATGTTTAAGGAAGTTTGATAAAAATAGAGCTCTTGGGAAATAATTTTTAAGAAGATTTGAGATGAGTCTTAATAGTTGAGTTAACATTTAGGTTATTCTTTTCAGTGTCATCATTGCTTCATCCTGTTCAGGTAGGGAAGCATTTTAATCTTGGCTACTTCAAATCCCTTTATAAGAAGGATTACTTCTGTGATTAGGAGATCGTTTATTAGCTCCTGCTATACTCTGGCTTATGGAGTCACATGATGTTTAGTCAGATAGCTTCCCTTACACAAGGCCCAGAAACCCTCTTGGAAGGCCAGTCTGTAGTGCAGGAGGCAGCCTGGTGCAATGGATGGCGCCTAGCGGTATAAGGTACTGCTGTGTTATATTTTAATGCCCTGAGGTCTCCATCATGAGATTTTAGGTCTAGCCTAAAGACTTTTCTTTTCTTCTTCTTTTTTTCTTTTTTTGAGACGGAGTTTCGTTCTTGTTACCCAAGCTGGAGTGCAATGGCGCAATCTCGGCTCACCGCAATCTCCGCCTCCTGAGTTCAAGCAATTCTCCTGCCTCAGCCTCCTGAGTAGCTGGGACTACAGGCACGCGCCACCATGCCCAGCTAATTTTTGTATTTTTAGT